ATTGCACTATAATTACTGAAGTTTCAATTACAGTTTTATGAAAATTTGTACGTTTGGAGATTTTTTTTAAAGTACCTATGGGAGAAATCTCAGGAATACAGTTTCTTTGGAGTCTTTTGTTTCTCGTGAAGTAAATTAAAATCGATATGTAGAGATGGCCCCCGGTGAACTTCAGAAAGCTTTGAAAGAGCTGAAGACATTCCATCCAATCGTCTTTTGGAAGAATATTCCAGAGTCTCGACATGTAGCTTCCCGATTGGACAAGTGCTAAAAGCCACTGCATGCGGATGGGATAACAAATGATGACATTGTTTTTACTAAAAACTATAAATATCTGAGTGTTTTGTACCATATTTGACACTGTTTGAAATAAGATTCCGTCCTACTCGCTTTATGTTTTCTAACTTGCGACTTGGAGGGTTCTAGCGTTTGAGTGCTCAGGTCGTGCGCGGTATAGCGAGAATACAAGCTCTAGATATAAAATGATCAATAAAGAGTCTTTGAATCACCACTTTCGAAGTTATAAACTTTACTTAGGTTGTGATGTGTTTGTTCAAGATACGATATTCTTGTATTGAATTAACATGAACTATGCTCAGCACGACATCCAACATGTGATTTAATTATAAATCTGTGTATTTGCTCATATATATGATTTCATCCTAACTAATAATCAAAATGGGTGTACAGTCAACATATAAAGACTGCATTTTCGAGTCGGGTCGTCGTCATGTTTTGGGGTTAATAAATCTTCGTTTCTACCACTCTTAGTGTCCTTACTTTGTGTCGTGGAGATTAAAGTGGTTCCTCGTTTTTCTTTTAAAATATAAGTAATAAACGACGTGAATATAACAATCACAAATAAAGTTCTCTTGTTATTGTTCTTTATTGGTTGGAGAGTAGGGGTCGACTGTGGATTATACAAATCGATGTTGTTTGTCACTGCGCTATTAAGTTTATCATTTGGAATGCGTAATCATAGTATCTTATATCATAGTGCTGTCGATAAACGTCTCAAGTACATTGAAAATACTTGATCCAATAAAATTTGAGAATAATTCACTGTGTTTTGGTTACAATGTTCATAGTTCTTTTGATTTTATACATAATTCTGAACAGTGATTCTCTTGGCAACATGTGATCAAATCTGTTAACTTATTTCCATTCTCCTATCCTTATTGGCAACCGAAAGCCACAAAAATCGTCGTTTAGGTTCACTTACAAAATCAAGAAATTCCCTTAAAGGCTGTATACATCAGAAAGTTGTACACTCTAGAAGCTATCGCAATTCATCCATTCAAACCTGACTTCTGAATGTAGAAGAGTCATATTCAATCCATTATTTTGCCATCTATCCTAATTAGGAATACCTTATGAATGCTATTTCGTTTTTTGTTCTGAAGCAAACCAAATATAAAGAGCTGTGTAATGAAAACAGTACAGCTGTTCGCTCACTATTATTTCTTTACCTCTCTCCTCGTATTGTTGCAGTGATCTTTTATCTTTCCTTCTCTATAGCCAAACAATGGTGTTTGAAGTGTCTATTAGAAATTCGTGAAATTTTAATTGCCTATCCTGGCTATCATGTATTCGCTGAATTATATCTAAATGATTATATTGTATGGATTCAGACGCGAGCATGGTTAGTTTTTCAAAAGTTCAATATGTGATTATTTGTCATGTATATGTTAAATTTCATGATTGATAGTTAACTTATTATCATAATATTGTTATTGTCTGTTGGCTCGGAGTTCGATAATTGATGGAGTTTTAGTTGTGCAATTCTGTGGAGTTTCATGCCCAGTCTAAATAGCTGTCTAATGCTCCCTGGTTTTCATTAGTTGTCTAAACAAGACGAGTCCGTGATATAAACTATGAAAACCTAATCTCTACTAACCCACTTTATTCTATAGATTAGACGTCCAATCTCTGGACCGAAGGTTTCGGATTAGACGTTCTACACTAGAACATAACAATTCTCCAAGTTTTCCATGGTGGTCTAGCTAAAATCAATTCGTGACATTTATTATGTAAATTTAATAAACATACTTCTATTCTGTCTTAATCGCTGACTGCCTAAATGTATTTTGATAGTCTCTTAATTTCTGTAGGCTTTCTCAATGACGCTTTATAATGCATAACATATTATTCGAATGAAAATAATTACCATTTCTTTTTATGTATTTATTTAGTGAATCCAATTTACATGATCTTGGCAAGAGTTTAGAGCAAGTAAGTTCATTCATCCCTTTCTTTTATGTTTTTGAAAGATATATATATATATATATACACTGGTTTTTCTCATTTATTCCTTCAGTTGTTTGTTTCGTTTTTGTTATGATATCCACATATTCTAATTATATTACTTACAAGTAACTAATATTTTACTGCACAATTTATTCCTTGTGTTAGAAGTTAGACACTAACACCGTTGGATGCCTGTCAGATTAGTGGTCTATCGGTTAAGTGCTCTGGCGCGAGACTGGTAAATCCTGGGTTCGAATCTCATGAGTGCGGTATCGTGGATGCGCACTACTGAGGAGTCCCATAATAGGACGAAACGGCCGTCCAGTACTTCCAGGTTTTCCATAGTGGTCTCGCTTTAATTGACTCATGATCTCAACTCTATAAAATCACTAAAATCTCCACAAAACCCCTTCTGATACTTTCATATTAGTTGATGTCTCGTTTTATCTGTTCCGTTTATCATCTTGAATCTTAGTATTCAGTTTAAACTGATCATTGCTTAATTTAGAACTATTGATTCACTTATATACTTAAGTTTCCCCAGGATTGTTCTCCATCAGCGCCTGAGCTAATAATAGGGAATGAAGTAGTTTAGCTTCTCTACCGCTTCACTTATCTTAGGAGTACATGTATCAGTTTCTACATTGTGTTTGACTGAATATCTGACTGATGCATAAGTTCCACATAGACAAAACAAAGGTCTTGTTACTTCAATCGATCTCGGTTACATTATTCCAGTGAATTCGACCACATTCTGATTGAAGAATAAGATTTTTTGGTATGTTAAATCCTCAGAACTCACTTGGTAAATGACTTATTTTTGTAATTTTATTTTGAAAGTTTTAGTTTCTTTGTTTTCGCACCAAAAGCGCTCCTTTCACCTTCGAGTCGTATTTCCCACTTGGAAATATCTTAAACTCTATTGATCCGTTGTATCTTTTTAGTGTGCTATTTTGTGAAGTTTCACAAGAAAAATTTTATGCTGTATTTATACATTTGATTTCTTCCTATTGTGACTGCTTGCACTTCCGGCTGCTTGCGGAATATATTTTCCCCTACTTCGTCTTGGACTTCTCACTCTAGTTAGCTGGGCCTGGAACAACAGATTAGATTAGCCTATCGTGTCACTGTGTCATTGACCTTTCGTTCCGTTACCGAGTAAGGAGAAACCGTAATTAGCATCAAGCATATCAGTTTTAATCGTTGATAAACTATTACCTTGTTCTATTAGTCAATCTTCTATAGTATGAAACTAATGAGAAACAACAAATTTGTAAAATGTTTCACATTTTACCTCAATGTTAGTAGAATGTAAATCAGTATTACAAAAAAAGTAATGAAAGCTATTTAGAGCAATGATATTAATTACAGTAAACTATCAAAAAAGAAAATGGTACAGGAAACAAGTGGAGTTAAGTAACTGTTATATCCAGACGAGAATTATGAATGGTAACTTTTGAAAACTATTTATGGATACATATTATACGTATATTCTTAATATATAATTATTCAATAGCTAGATTATGTTTATCTATACTTCTCTTATTATAAGCTTTATTTTGACCTATGAACTACTATTATGCGATTTACTATTCTTGATTTATACCCAGTCTATTAATTACTATTCCTCACATTCACAGCCACATTTGAATAAATTTTGTACAAATGTTATTTTTTATTTTATGCTACGATGTGGTCTGGTTGCTTTGTATGTAAACCTGGTATGCTTAAAGTACATGATTTATATCACAATCTCAACTAGCTACTTTATGTAATTGGATAAGTTGAATAAGATTTTACTTCTAAGATTTCATTTCTTTTCATTCAGAAGTAGTAAAAGAGTGATAATATTGTTGTCATAAATATAAACAGACTCACAATTTACTCGTGTATCATAAGTTCCCTTCAAAAATTACTCAACTATATTTTGTTAAATTTCTCCTCATAAAAAGAGTTCTCTTCTTTCCTTTTCATTTCCTCTATAGTTTAAAATGAAGAAAGATTTTGTTGATTTAAACTTGAAACAAATTGAACAACTTGGTCATGAATGTTTAAAAATGGAAGAACTACAAGATTCATTAAAACAAATGTCATTTTCTGCAAATGATATAGAAGATCAAAAACCCAAACCTTTACAAACATAAGCTGAAGAATTTTAAAAGATTCTTTACACAATTTCTGATTGTACATTTAAAAACTTATTTTTTCTTGTGTTCCTGCTTCCTTGAAACGCATATTTCTATATTTAAATAGTGTTTCATTGATCGAAATAAATTTATTTATGAGCATAGTGGGAAAATTCCAACCTTATTCTCCTTGGTAAGCAAAAATGGATAGTGGCTAACATTGGAATCCAGTTTGACGCACACCACTTCGTCGTATTTGGGACTCGTCAGCTGAATGTGCCTGCATCCCAGAGTTGATGTTCACTCTGGCACTCGAACCCACTACCTTTTGCTTCAAACGCCATCGCGTTATCCACTCAGCTACTGATAGCCACTTTCTTGTGAGATGGGGTGAAATTTAAATTCACTTAGTATTGTTTGTTTGAATCTTCCCATTGATGTTTAGGATTGCAACTGGTCATTCTCTAATTGGCATATATGCACACTGTGCGTATGGCCTCGATATTGCCTTATTTCACCAGCATTGTAAGCAAAGATGGATATTGGCTAGCAGTTTAGGCAATATGCACATATGCCAATAAGAGACTGACCAGTTGCAGTCCTAAACGTCAATGGGAAGATTCAAACAAACAATACTAAGTGAATTTATTCTCCTTGGGTTTAAACATCTTAACAACAATATACGTGACCACTATTTATTTAGTTATCAAAATCCTTGTAAACTACTTATAAAATAATAAGTAGCTAGTTTTCGTAACGGATGAAAATTGAATGAACTATGACTGTCTAGATCGTATGTTCATATGTTGATCACTCTCAACAATTGAATTGCTATTGACATGAGACATCTAATAAAAGGATATCAGAGGACATAACGAGTTACTAAGGAGATTTGTTTTATATGACAAGATGACACCTGTGTACAAAATATTCGACATGAAAATAACCATAAGTCAACATCACTTAAGGTGTAAATAACGGTGCGATATGGGTTTTTATAGAATAATATTCTAACAACTATGATATAAATTTATTACTCATATCCTTTCATGCACTAAGGACTAGTTTCTCCCACCTTCGCACTCAAACCTTTTGCCAGAAAGTATTGATAGTTTTAAAAGTGATGTAATCGGTTATTATTGTTCAAAGATGGATATAACAGCCAATACTCTGTGCAGCGATTAACCTTAGTATTTACGTTATTACTAGTTCGAATTCGGTTATAGCCAGTGATAATTTGTTTATCAACATACCAATGTTGAAGTTATGGATAGTATACTCGTGTTGAACCCACATGCCTTCATAGTTTAATTCGTGTATGGTGTAATCTTAGAATTAAGGAATCGAAATGTCAGACTTGGGACACTAGATAGAGATGGTGAATCAGTTGAAAAGATTATGAACGTTTATCAACGGAAGTGGTTACTTTGAATGTTATTTACACGTAGCTGCCGCTTTCCCAGCGTAATATACTGAGTAATATGGATGGTGAAATAATGAATTGTCTATCGAAATAGTGCACAGATAACACATAGTCAGCTATACAGCTATCAAAACTTCTTTTCCTCAGATCAAGCTTTCTTACAAACAAAGATTTATTTGTTTTGTTATCTAGGTATGTAATTCTTAACATAATCACCATTTTAAAATGGTTTCTACAATGCTACTTATTCACAAAAAATAATTGTGTTTCAACAGCTTGGCTAATAATTATGAAAATAAACTACGTTTATGCTGGAAATATCTGTTATAACGGAAGAAAACTGTTACTTGCTACAGAGAATCCTGATTCGCACAATGCAAAGAAGAAAATATCAGGTGAGGACTTATTATGCATTAAAAGTGAATCAAGGCTATGTTGGCTGAGCACACTGATTTTTATGTACTTTAATTACACTAGTCAATCGTCAAAATGTATATAAATCGATCTGAGTAGTATTTTACATCGATTAATTCAATAACTTACAGTAAGCACACAATTTACAATCTTGTCATAAGATTAAATTACTGTGACCAACACATGCAACTAGGATATATATTACTCCTTCTTTAGATATGATCACATGTTACAAGAATTGAAGAAAATCAATTCGTACGCCAATTACACTTCAATCAATTAAGATATCACAAGGGGGGTTTTTGTGGAGATTTAGTAATTTTATAGTTAAGATCATGAGTCAATTGAGGCTAGACCACCATCGAAAACCTGGAAGCACTGGACGGCCGTTTCGTCCTATTATGGGACTCCTCAGCAGTGCGCATCCACGAACGGCCGTCCAGTGCTTCCAGGTTTTCGATGGTGGTCTAGCCTCAATTGACTCATGATCTTAACTATAAAATTACTAAATCTCCACAAAAACCCCCCTTGTGATAATGATCATATGCTCACTAGGGACTGGCTCCTTGAGGTAATTCCTGGAGTTCTAGTGAGAAGTCGTGGCCAGTGGAGCTAATCCATGTCAGGTAGAGACAGGTATCTACCTCAGTACATTGGAAGTTGGTTGCGCAATTTCGTGGATTGGTTGAGGTTAGACATTAACACCGTTGGAAGCCAGCTCAGTGGTCTATCGGTTAAGGGCTCCGGCTCGAGACTGGTAGGTCCTGGGTTCGAATCTCGCGAGAGCGGGTTCGTGGATGCGCACTGCTGAGGAGTCCCATAATAGGACGAAACGGCCGTCCAGTGCTTCCAGGTTTTCGATGGTGGTCTAGCCTCAATTGACTCATGATCTTAACTATACAATTAAGATATATTTTCCTACCAGATTAAGTGGAAAACAATCCTGTAATCCCTTCAGACCACTTATACTAATTGTAGGCAAAGATGGATAGTGGCTAGCACTGGAATCCAGTTTGACGCACGCCACTTCATCCTATTTAGGACTCGTCAGCTGGATGTGCCTGCATCTCAGAGTTGATGTTCACTCTGGCACTCGAACCCAGTACCTTTTGCTTCAAATGCCATCGCGTTATCCACTCAGCTACTGATAGCCACTTTCTTGTGAGGTGGGGTGAAGTTCAAATTCACTTAGTATTGTTTGTTTGAATCTTCCCATTGATGTTTAAGACTGCAACTGGTCAGTCTCCTATTGGCATATATGCATACTGTGCGTATTGCCTCGATATAGCCTTAATGTTATACTATGTCTATACTAATATTCAGTATGTGCCCTCCTTTTTTGATATCGGCCGGATCACTTTGTAAAGAGACTCTTCAGAATGGTGTGGCCAAAGTGTGCTTCCTGGACCTAATTACTATCTAGTGTCTGAAATAAACAGGTAAAGAGATATACGTATGATTTCAACTTTGAAAAAAAAAACTGAAATCTCCACAAATCCCCTTCAGATATACGTATCACTTTTTTTTTAAAATAATCTCAGCTTTTATCGTTGAAACATGTACGTGACCTAGTTCTGATTTATTCGCCAACAATAGATTGATTTCCGATCATGAAACTTAAAAGTGTTTCATGTTCTCATCACTAAGACGAGGTAAGTTAAAATCTTCTATTTACATCTACAAACAAAAGCAGTGACCAGTGGAGTTCAAACCACGTCTGTTTTGAGATAGGAACTCACTGAAAACAATTGGTGAACGGTTGCTCAAATTTCGTGGATTGGTTGGAGTTAGACATAAACACCATCGAATGCCGGCGCAGTGGTCTATCGTTTAAATGCTCTGGCTCGAGACTGATAGGTCCTGGGTTCGTGGATGCGCACTGCTGAGGAGTCCCACAATAGGACGAGTTGGCCGTCCAGGTTTTCAATGGTGGCCTAGCTTCAATTGACTCACGCTTTCAACTATGAAAAAAAGAATGTAAACTACATTCATCATAATGATCAGAGACTATGAATCGTTACCAGTTCTCTTTATGCTAATAAAAGGCACCTCTTTTAACATGAAACAAATTAAAATAATTGTAGAAAATTGATCGTTATTACTAATACCAACAATAGTTTCATTTCACAATGTATTACAGTGTACATTTTTATTTCCTATACCTTAACCTTAAGTAATTAGTACTTTTATGGTAAAATAAATAAAAGTCCTTTAAATTAAAGAAAATGATCTAATGGTAAAGGTAATAAAAAGAAATCAATACACAACTATCCAAGTTCATTATAGTTGTTCCTATGGTGAAAGGTCTCTTATGTTTATCATTCTTCCTGTCCGCTTTTTTTTCTCTCTTCCTTCTTTCCTGATTTGCTACAATGACAATATATATTTAGTTGATTGTATTTGTAAATAATTAACTGTTTAAATTATTATTTTGTTTTCTAAAAATAAACTTTTCTCAATGATGAAAAAAGAGTTTCTTTTTTGGTTAGAAAAAAAAAATTAGTTGAGAGAAAAAGAAACTCCACCGGTAACTCTTCTAGGATTACTGCTGATCTCAGGCCCGTGTAAAGGAGGAGGGTTTGGCATAGGATTAACAACTTCATCCCGTAGAAAACAACCTTGTTAGAAAAACGCTAATCAGTATGACCAATTTTGTTTTTTAGATATGACTTAAGGTTAATAAATCAAAATCATGTTTACTAATTATGGTTAACCAATACATGGACTTGGCTTTGAGCCATATTTGATGTTTAGTGGTTTATTGTTACTGTAGTGAACAAAAAAACTCAGATAGGGAGGACCAATTTTACGTTTATCACAAAATCTCATTGTATCTCAGTGAAATAGGGAAATTATACATTAAATACATCATTTTGCTCATTTTCTTTGCGTTGCCCTTTATATACTACATTATTCCTCTAATTTTGTTGTTATTTTGATTACTCTTCAATTTCCTTCCTGTTATTTTCACTTCAATCTTCTTTTGCCAGGTATTCGAATTCCGATTGGTGCCACTTATATCTATCAGCATAAGTAGTATACACCACAATATTATTTGATTGCTGAAATCATAGAAGATGGAGTAGGGTTTGAATCTGTTATCTTGTGACTTGAAGCTGAGCACTTTAACCATTAATCTACTGGTCTACATGAAAACTTTATTCAATGTATAATAATAAATAGTATTTACATCATTAAGAAACAATTTTTTTACATTTTCTAAATGAAGGTAAACTTTATAGTAAAACGGATATTTAAACAACACATAATTTATTATATATAGTTGAAATCATGAGTCAATTGAAGCTAGACAACCATGGGAAACCTGAAATTACTGGACGGCCAACTCGTCCTATTGTGGGACTCCTCAGTGGCATTGCTCATCCACGATCCCGCCTCTCGAGATTCGAACCCAGGACCTACCAGTTTCGCACCAGAGCACTTAACTGATATCATCACAAGTTGAATTTAGCCGGTAAACTATTAAACAAAACAATATAAACTCATAAAGTAATTAACTGATTGGATGAAGCTATATAAGTAAATGTAGACTATCTAGTTGAAGTCTGTAGGATTATGGTAACTAATGATTAAAGACTTTGAATGACATCATTTATATCAGGTCAAAATAGTCTAGATCCACACATTCTTTGTGTTCTTTTAAAATTATCTGGTACATTGATATTGCACGAATTTCCTACTGTGAATGATATCGTTCATTACCATGTCTACTACTCTGTTATTTGTCATGATCGTTTCACTTAACTGTATTGGTATGGTTTAACAGTTTGAACCGATGAATACTTGTGTTAGGTACTATGTTATCTATTACCCTTGAAGTTATGTTTACTAGAAAAATCAAGGTCAATCAATAAGGTATACACATGTGCAATTGAAGGATTCATTTTGCACCTACGAAATTAATCAATCAAAATTGACGTTAAAAAAAAACAATTTATTAGTTGAATTTATAAGTTGAAGTACTAAACAGCTGTTCCGCCTTAACCAGTGTGTATCTACGATCTCGCACTAGAAAGACTCGAACCCAGGATCTTCGATCTCATATGTGAACACTTAACTTCTAGACCACTTAGCTGACCGGCATCCAACGGTATTAATGTTTAAATTTAACCAATCCACGATATTGCGCGATTGTCCACCATTGTCGTCAGTAAGTAACTGCCTCACAACAGACATGAATTAGATTCCACTGTTCATGACTTCTTACTAGAACTCCAGGGAATATCTCTTGAAACCAGTAACTAATGATCACATGATGATTATTATTAGAATGAAGGTTTTGTGGAGATTATAATGGTTTAATAGTTGAATTCATAAATCGATTTTAAAAAAATAGTATAATATTTATAAGCACCAATCTGTTTATTTGGAATTTGGATAACCACTAGTGTATACAAAAGAAATTGATTCATGATGAATAGATAAATTATTATCTTAACTCTTATAGGTTATTATGTAATATACTAAGTATCTATTTTAAAATGAACTATGTATGATAAATGGTAGTTAAATGAATGTTCAATGTAACTAATAACAATGAAAACATTGGATTTGAGTATGCTATTAGTTATGTATTCATATTGTGATTTTTGGAATTTATGATCATTTTATTAATATTGTGTTATCTTCAAACATTGCATAAACATGAATCATTGATTGAATAACAAATGTCTAGATGTAAGCAAAGATGGATAGTGCCTAGCACTGGAATCCAGTTTGACGCACGCCAACTTCGTTCTATTTGGTACTCGTCAGCTGAATGTACCTGCATCTCAAAGTTGATATTCACTCTGCGACTGGAACTCAGTACCTTTTGCTTCAAACGCCATCGTGTTATCCACTCAGCTACTGAATTCTGATAGCCACTTTCTTGTGCAATGGGGTGAAATTCAAACTCACTTAGTATTGTTTGTTTGATTTTTTCGATTGATGTTTAGGACTGCAACTGGTCAGTCTCTAATTGGCCATATATGCATACTGTGCGCATTGCTTACAATGCTTTTGAATCAAGGCTATATCTAGGCAATGCGCGCAGTATTCACATATGCCAATTAGAGACTGACCAGTTTCAGTCCTAAACATCAATGGGAAGATTCAGACTAACAATACTAATTGAATTTAAATATCTAGATGTATTAAGTATTGATAATTCATAAGATGTAGATTGACTGATGAATTCAATTATTACAATTACTACAATGTCTATGAGTTCCCATTCTGATAGTAATCATGTGCTCACTAGTGAATAGCTTCAAGATAGATTTCTTGGAGTTTTAGTGAGAAGCTGTGACTTGTAGAGTCCAATCCGTGTCGGGTAGAGACAGTTAATATCTGAAGATAATGGATGAAGGGTTGAGCAAGATCATGGATCGATTGGAGTAAAACATGAACACCGTTGGATGTCGGTCAGCTCAGTGGTTTAAAGGTTAAACGTTCGCATGCGAGACCAAAGGTGCTGAGTTGGAGTAGTGCGTGTGGGATCGTGAATGCATACTGGTGAGGAGTCCCATACTAGGATGAAAAGGCTGTCCAATACTTCGAGGTTTCCAATGGTTGTTTAGCTCACATTGACTCATGAATTCAACTACTAAAATTACTACAATTTCCACAAATCTTCATTTTGAGAATTCACAAAATGGAAGGTGTATCCCACATTCTCAATCACTTTTATTTCATAATATAGAATACTAGGTGAAATTTTAAGTAAAATAGGTTTTAATTATCAGAAGGGGTTTTGTGGAGATTTAGTATTTTTCATAGTAGAAAGCATGAGTCAATTGAAGCTAGACAACCATGGAAAACCTGGAAGCACTGGACGGCCGTTTCGTCCCATTATGGGACTCCTCAGTAGCAGTGCGCATCCACGAACCCGCTCTCGCGAGATTCGAACCCAGGACCTACTAGTCTCGAGCCGAAGCCCTTAACCGGTAGACCACTGAGCTGGCATCCAACGGTGTTAATGTCTAACTTCAACTGATCCACGAAGTTGAGCAACCATTCACCAATTGTCTTCAGTGAGTTCCTATCTCACAACAGACGTGGTTTTGAACTTCACTGGTCACTGCTTCTCACTAGAGCTCCTAGTTATACTTCTCGAATATATATAATCAAAAATTAACATCATGATACATGGCGTTATCGATTAGTCAACTTGATTAGTACTTAGATCTAAGTTTACACTATAGCTTATAAACAATGGTGATCGATTAGCCGGTTGAACTTAGCTTTAAAATTTAAGGAATTATATTCCTTGTAAATGATAGAAGAAGTGTATCTGTACCTCTGATATCATTTTCACTCTACCAATATACACTTGTGAAAAGTTCTTGTGTAATCTCCTTAGTGGTTGGATGGAATTGAAGGGAATTCCCGGACCTAGGTTTAATGCTAATCATCTGTATTCTTTGGAAGAATTATGCTACCTATGAGATTTTAAACAACATGTCATTTGTTATCATTGTTAGAGATATTATCACCCATCTGTTTGAATAGTAACTGACTTTTAAGTAGATGAAGCGTTTGCACACAATCGATCGATCACTATAGGATTACAAATGTCATATCAATATTTATTCTCTCGGATTAATACCTACATCTAAAATTAATAGGTAAACTCTAATGAGGACAGTGTTTTATTTAATTTTTATATAGTTGAAATCATGAGTCGATTGAAGCTACATCACCATGGAAAGCCTGGAAGAACTGGACGGTCAATTCGTCCTATTGTGGGACTCCTCAGCAGTGTGCATCCACGATCCCGCCTCACGAGATTCGAACCCAGGACCTACCAGTCTCGCGCCATAACACTTGACCGATAGACCACCTCACGAAGTGGGAACGTGGATGCGCACTTCTGAGGAGTCTTACAATAGGAAGAAACGGCCGTCCAGTGCTTCCAGATTTTCCTGATAATTATTAACAGAATAGTTTTACAATGATTATTCAATTTTCCCTTTACACTATAAACTGATTTAAGCTAGAGAACCATTGGTAATCGAGTAATATTTGACGGCTATTTCATTGTAGTGCCGAAAACTAAAAGGAAGTTTCAAGATTATTACTGACCTTTTTCGGTTCCAACTCTTTATCTATTAGATTATGAAGGAACGTAATCAGTTAATTTCTGATTAGTTCAAATAGGATACAACTTCTAAAGAATTTCTTTCAACAATTATCATCATTTTTTCCTTATATTGAACAGTTGAATAGTACAATGTTATTAGTATTCCAAGTAGTATATTTACTTTGACTAATTATACTACAATAATGTATCTATGTATGGAAATAATGTTTGTATGTATATGTATGGTGAAATATTCTCATTTGTTTTTTTTACCTAGTAACCAATAAGAAAACGAAAGTTTGACCTGAATATAACCATAGTGATATAAACAAATACTTTTGACAATTATTAAACTATTCAATGATTGTTTTAATATTCTAATCACCTCATACTATAGTATATCTATCGATATTCATTTAACTGCATACTATCAAATTGATTGTAAGTAGTATATATATATATACATATGCAATCAACCGACGGTATCATCAATCATTGGAAGATATTCTGTCCTTTTTATATTCTTAAAATCTGATTGGTTAATACCAGTATTCATTCTTTTTTCTATTTTTTTCTTAAAAAAAAACTGCATTTAATGTTTTCATTAGATGGTTCATTCAATTTATAGTTACTATCCATTCATTTCATTTACCAAATATTTATTTGACTACTTAAATGATACTACTTAATTATTGATTCAAAGAAGTGACAATATTACTACAAAGGGGATAAATATACATATATGATCAAATCAAATCAATGTGAAAGGGTTAATCATATCATATGGGAAATAATGTGAAATGAATGGTAATTTAACTTACTTATAAATACTTTATAAGTAGTAAAGTTTGATATTAATTACTTTATTATTATTATTATTACCATTATTAATACTATTAATGGATGAGCTTCAACGGCTTTATGAACATCAAACAATGATGGCAATTAGAATATATTCATTTTTAGACAATTTACTAACACATTTACCATCATCACGTACTAATAACAATAATGATAATGATTTGGATACAATCCATTCGTCGAATAATACACATAATACTAATGATTATATGAGTAGTATATCATCAAGACAAGTAAACACAGACCATCATCATCAGCTTTACCAACAGTATCCATATACTACTACTACTACCAATGTGACGGATGAGTTAAATACATCTGTTGGTGATATACTTCCTAGAAGATATGAAAATACACAAACATTATCATCTTCATCATTAACATCAGATTCATCAACATGGTTATTAAATGATATGAATTTAACAACAATATACAATCCACAATTTCATTCATCTACAATGTATGATACGAATAATAATGATACAATATATACTACTGATACAACATATACTACTAGTAGTAATAATGATAATAATTATACTGATTCAATATCAAAAGAGATTGAACCTGGAGGTTATTGTGAAGAAATATTTATTTATTTATCAAATAGCGAAAAACAAGAATATCTGTGTACAATATGGTAAGTTATCAATGAAGAAAGTATAGTTACATAATGATGTAAAATATATTTCAGATTACGTAATGATTGTGCTCTGTCTTAATGAAATGTGATATTCTATCAATTTAGGAAACAAATTTCATATGGCCTTATAATAATGATGACATTATCATTACTGAATATAAAGAAATAAAAGGTCGATTTACATAGAAAACATAGACTACGTTTAGTTGTGGAATTCATGATACACCTTTTATCTTATCTGGAATAAGTCAGATGGATGTACATGAATTTCAGAGTGCATACTCAATCCAACATACGAATCAAGTACCTGACACTACAAACATTAACGTGTTATACACTAAGCTAATGAGTACAGATTGCCAATCACTTGTACAATAGGTATAAATTTAGGTATTAATTTGTAAGAGTTTGTAACAAGCATCCCATTGTTGACATCCAATTTGGGATGCATTTACATCCAATTGATTGATCTTATGTATGACGAAATGAACATTCTGTAAGTTTTATTGGTAGTAGTTACATTCCATCTATTCAATGTGAACTTGATTCATGCTGTCTATAACTTGGTAACTCACACAGAATGCACACATGTCACCTAAGTCTGATTAGATTTTATTTAAAATATCAACAACTGTATAATTCAAACCATTATTAACTAAATTAAAATGATTGAACATTCCCACAACTCTTTTTATCAACTATGAATTCTTGTTTTATCTATGTCAGATCATCTTACATGGAATGACCCATTAGTTTGATGACCGGGTTGTTTATGCTTTTGATAAAGGGATTTTGTAGAGATTCACTCAACTAACAGCTGGTATTACTATTCATACACTCTTAGATTAGTAGCTTCAATTGACTCATGATTTCAAATATGAAAATACTGAAATCTCCACAAATCCCCTTCTGATTATAATCATATGCTCACTAGTGACTGACTTCAAGGGATGGTTCCTTGAGCTCTAGTGGGAAGCAGTGACCAGTGGAGTTCTACCAAGTCTGTTGTAGAGATATCAACTCACTGAAGACAATTGGTGAACTGTTGCTCAAACATCGTGGATTGGTTGAAGTTTGACATTAACACCATTCGATGCCGGCTCAGTGGTTCATCGGTTAAGTGCTTCGGCACGAGACTGATAGGTCTTGGGTTTGAATCTTGCGAGTGCGGGATCATGGATGCGCACTGCTGAAGAGTTCCATGATAGGACGAGTTGGCCGTCCATTGCTTACAGGTTTCCCATGGTGTTCTAGCTTCAATTGACTCATGATTTCAACTATGAAAATATTTCAAATAATTCAATAACCAAATAAATATTCTCACACTAATCCATCAGCTACATACTTACGGCTATAGATTCTAGCTTGTTAGTTCAATAGATCTAAAGTGACTACCTCTTGGTTAGAAACTTGATTCTTTGTCCGCCAAACTATTATCCTATCAGATAATTTTGTTTAAAACGTTTCTGATGATTATTTAAATAGACCTTCAAACTTTTAAGTATTCTGAATAAATTTGATTTTATAACCTAATAGATGACATCTACATTCATTTATTTAACTATTACTTGGTTGTCAAGGTATACAAATAAAAAAAAGGTTTAAAATATTCTATTAACGAAAGTTTAAAATCCTCCTGGCAACACAAAATTTTAATGATACAAGTAATGATAGATCAATACAATTAGTTACCAAGATTAAACTATCATTAGTGAACTATTCAAAAGACATTACATTATCTGACTAAAAATGTCCTCCTAATGACAGATAACATGATAACATATTCGTGAGTACTGTGTCAATTGTACATTATTATGTAGTTACTTTAAATAAAAAAATCCACCGACTGTTATCGAAATCAGCATACATGAAAGAAGTGGATTTCTACTATAGTCAACGAATAAATTTTGAGAAGTCGATGTTATTATAGGTAGTATTTCAATAATATAATCTCAGATCTATGCTCCACACTATTTCGAATTAATCACTTTAATAGCTTATCAGTAATCTTCTTGTCGACATTCAAATACTTCAGTGCTCATCACTTCTAATGTCAAATAATAGTTTATTAGAATGGGGGGTTTATAGAGATTGTAGTGGTTTTTTAATAGTTGAATCCATGAGTGAGAAGCCATGACCAGTCCAGTTCAATTTGTATCGAGTAAAAACAGTTATCCACCTCAGACAATGAATGAATGGTTGCAAAAAACCACTGATCGATTGAAGTGAAACATTAATACCGTTGGATTCCGATCAGCTGAGTAGTCTAGAGGTTATGTGTTCGAGCGTGAAGCCAAAGCTCCTAGATTCGAGTCCCACGTGCGGAGTGTTTGATGAACACTGGTAAGGAGTCCCATATAAGGACGGAACGGCTGTCTAGTGCTTTGAGGTTTTCCATGGTGGTCTAGCTTACATTGACTCATGAATTTAACTATTAGAATAGGAGTTTACTCTTCCAAAAAACAATTAGAAATAATCCTAATATGATAAATAAATTATTATTATTATTGTATTATGTTATACTTTTTTGAATAGTGAGATGAGATGAAAATGTTTCTCAGAGAAACGTTTGATTTGTGTTGTATATATAGATATGTTTCGTCAGTCAAATGACAATTGAACGACGGTGATAGTTGAACGCTATTTATCAAGATTTAACTGAACTTCATGACAAAATAGACAGATGATATTATCAGAAGAGGGGTTTGTTGAGATTTTAGTAATTTTACATAGTTAAAATCATGAGTCAATTGAAGCTAGACCATCATGAAAAACCTGGAAGATTTGATTTGATGATCTGGGAGAAATGGACATATATTTATGAATGAGTTATTCTAAGAAGGGGTTTGTGGAGATTTTAGCGATTTTATAGAGTTGAGATCATCAGTCATTTGAAGCTAGACCACAATGGAAAACCTGGAAGCACTGGACGGCCAACTCGTCTTATTGTGGGACTCCTCAGCAATGCGCATCCACGATCCCGGGCTCGCGAGATTCGAACCCAGGACCTACCAGTCTCGCGCCAGAGCACTTAACCGATAGACCACTGATCTGGCAGGCATCCAACGGTGTTAATGTCTAACTTCAACCGATTCACGAAATCGGTCTATCGGTTAAGTGCTCTGGTGCGAGACTAGTAGGTTCTGGGTTCGAATCTCGCGAGTGCGGAATCGTGGATGCGTACTGCCACTGAGGAGTCCCATAATAGGACGAGTTGGCCGTCCAATGCTTCCACGTTTTCGATGGTGGTCTAGCTTCAATTGACTCATGATCTCATCTCCATAAAATGAGTTATTTGTTGATTTTCGTTTTGAGTTAACCGTTCACATTTTCATATTCATTCTTAGTTTACTCACCCAATTAACTAGTTTGAGTATGAATGTAGGAAGTGTAAATATCATTATCAGATTTGGACAATTGAAGAATACAAGATTCATATTTCATACAGTGTGATAACTCATTGATCTGTTTATTTATTAGCACATAAGAATTAAAATGATTAAATTATAAATGTGAGAATACAAGAAAAAACAATCAGCAGTTGTGATAATAATATAACATATCATTAACCATAACATTCTTGGTATTTCATGAATTAGTTCAATAAAAGTATAAGGAGGTTGAGTAAATTCTTGAATTACCAAAGCTTCAATAAATTCAAGTAGTCCTATTTGATCTTTTCTGAACAACACTACAAAGGTTCATTTTAGATCGGTCCTACAAGTTATCTTTGTTGTAAGCTTATCAGCAGAATATGATTGATGTTTACCATCTACACCTATCACTTTTTAAAATGCCTGTCAGGGAAATCCTACTCACTGCCTTCTCGTGGCATTACTATTGTTTACGAAATTGAGAGGAAGAAAAGCGAATGTCCGGTGCTTTAATCAGGTTGGTGGACACTGAAAGTCCACCTAGGGGAGTTGGAAAACCCTGATTCCAAACTGTTATAAACGTAGGTATGCCGTCGCCAATTGTTATAAACGTAAGTATGTCGTCGCTAATTGTTATAAACGTAAAGGAGAGGATGCTGGTTATAACAGTAGGGGTTCTTGTTATAACAGTCCTCTTACTTCTTACACGTATGTGGGACGTTAATTTATCTTAGACGAATATCTACACTAGATTCCCACCCAGTGTCTATTCTACAGGACTTCAACAGAACTCAGATCAAGAACACGAGATTAGCCTGACTATAACGTCATTATATTTCCACACGAAAATCCGACACAAAGAACAGTCAATCAATAAGTGTCCATCAACAAGGAACAGTCAATACATAATAAGGATAGGGGAATATATATAACACATATAACACCTGTCATCCCCTCTAATGTCTGACTCATCGAGACAACCAATCATTATCATTCTCGCACACACATCACAAACCAATGGTGCATATGGGCTCCAGTATCCTGATGGAACAAATGGAGTATGAATCAGTCGTTCGTCACCAGCTACCATGTGACTGCATCTCTTCACGATGCTCCACTGCCTTGTGTATCAGACCTTTAGGTTGAGTGCTCCAGGTGTGGCCCCCTAAGAAAACCACCTGCTTCGGTTTGAGCGCCTGGATAGTATCACAGCCCTCACACAAATCAAATGAGATTAGTGTGGCGCATATATATCTGGTGCTTCTTTGTACCAATATTTATGTGTTTAAGTAAAATAAATAAAAAAGTCATGTTCAACAGCATTAAAAGGCATATCTCCATTAGTCCTCTCTGTATATATTCGCCTGTAAAGATCTGAGTTGATTAATACTATGGGATTTCACGCAATTGTTTATATGGTACTTAAATTTGTGACTGAGCGTAGAACTTTTGTTAACTATTTATACTCAAGGTCATGAATAATGTTATTTTTCATAGATAATCAATTAAGTTGATTATCTAAACCAATTGCTTGAGTGAGAAAACTAAGAATGAATAAGAAAATGTGTTTAGTTAACCAAAACGAAAATCAACGAATAACTTATTTTATATAGTTGAAATCAT